CTACCACAAATTGCAAAACTCTTTTATTATGTATTTTCTTCATTCTCCCATTACTTCATGTTTCTGAAGTCCCTTTGTTACTTCATTCTCAGACATCCCCAAGTCTCTGTTCTGCTTGCTTATCTGCATGATCTTTAAAGCTTTGAGCACTGAAATCGAAAGACGCTTTCTGTATATTGTTGACTGATTAAACATACCCTTACCATATATTTTCACAAAGGAATTCCTTTAGTGTGTAGCCAGGAAGTTTTCAGAGTAATAAACAAAATATATCCTCTGTATATAAGACATGTTGAAGACAAAAATAGCAACATTTCTGCAGATAGCCCAGCACTTTTCCTCAAAACATGTTTGCCATTACTGTCATCCTTTGTTTTAGCCTCAAGATCTAAATACAGTTATATATCTCTTCAGTTCTTGATCAGTGTGAATCCACTGAAGCAGTAGCCTCACTATGGGAAGATGTATACAGAATTCTGGTGGGAGAGTGACCACTTGGATGGCAAAAGAAGGGGGGGGGGAGGAAGGAAGATGATACAGTTTGTCATAAGGACTTGAAATGAATTTTTAGCTGTTGCAGGAATGTGTCCACTGGTGGGTTTGGTAATAATGATGTTGAAATGTTCGAGTTCTGTTGTAAGAGAATTACAGGTAGTTTATACACTTGGGTAAAATAGAAGGGAAGGAATATTTGGGTTCCATGGAATATTGCAGTGCTTTTTTATATTCATTAACCAAAAAAAGGTTGACAAACACATAAATTGGAGGTTAGAGGTACTAAATATTGGTCATGACAGTTTCTTACCTTCCTCCCGATAATTTATCTTGTTTCAGATGTAGGATTAGCATTAGCAGCTGGTGGTGTCATTCAAGTGACAGAAAACAGTGCCAACTTTGTGTTTACAGATACCACACCATGGACGGTGCGTATATTGTTTTAATTTTTTGGTACTGCATTTTGAATTACTCCTAAGAATTATTTCTTAAACAATTGTATTTTCAGAATTTTGTGTCCAGACTGATACACAGCACTGGACCCGTTTGGGCAATAAGTATGCATTAATTTCAAGACTCACTGAAAGTTACATTTGATTAGTAATAAGGATATATTTATCCTTTTTTACGCTTATTGATCTGGGAAGCATGGTTGAATTCCAAGCTGACTTGAAATTGATACTTCTGTAGTTACCACAAAGTTAAGCTGGATGATGATGATAGAATACATACTGGTTAATCTTTTCCTGTTAATTTCATGCCTTTAAGATGTGTAATTCTAAGCTTAATGCAACATGTAGTTGGAGCACTTTTAGATCTATCTCTGTTTATTGTTTTTATAAGCAGTGATAGTCTCAGAGAACAGAATATGTCCATACCCCAACTGTAGTCACATAAATCAGGGCAATACAATATAACTTATGGTTCTCAAGGTAGGTATGGTTTTCAAAAGTTGTAGCACTGAAGGGCCAGAGGTATGGGTTAGATGAAGATATTAAGGTAATGGTGGGATTTTCAAGTTGGAAACTGAATATTTTGGTAGTTATTGATTAACTGGCCTGAAGTTGAACTCAAATTTACTTAATTCTTACAACTTTGAATAAATTGAACGTATCAAATTAAAACTTATCAAGACTGAAAATAGTGTGTTCCATAATGTAGTATACAAAATTTCCAGTGGCATCCTTTGCAGTTTATTTAGTTTGCAGCTTCTTTTGCAAATGACATTTTAGAAAAACAAATGTGTCAGATAAAATGAGTAAAATTCATACTTCAGCAGGATAGCAATGAACAATCTTTGATTAATAATTCATTATGTACATTGAAAAGTTAATTTATGACCTGTGTCAAACAGACTTGTTATGCATCATTGTGACTGAAAAGCAGAATTAGCCAACAGCTTTTAGTAAAACTAATCAGCATTGAATTCTTGAAAAGATCAATCCAACAGTATGGGCACTGTTACTACACCATCGATGGATGCCACATTGGCAGCTTTTTTGTGGGTGGAGGGGGTAAATAACACCTAAAAATTAAACTGATACTAATATTTAAAATTATATATTGGAAGTACCTCCACACCAAATAAAATGGTATGTAATGCTAATTCAGTCTTCGAGAATTTCCAGTGGTGTTTCTTCCAGTACAGATGACTGAGTCACCAGTGCCTTATTTGTTAAGAATATACACCACAAGAAAGTGAAATTGGCACTGGGGTAATAGAGAATTTTTTTCAACAGTGCACATGAACAAGGAGTAGTATGTTTTTCATTTCAACTAAGGGAAGGTTTTGGATTGATTCTCATTCAGATGGGAATGTTGAGATGGACTGTGTAAGTATAATATGTGTGTGTATGTGTGCAAGATTTATAATGGGATGAATTTCATTGCAGGTAATGAACCCAGAAACAATACACAGAGAACACTTTATGACAGATTTCATACAAAATTCAGCTGATATGATTGAAGGCAGTGTAAAGCAGACCTATTTGAAAGGTAGTGAGATGAGGTAAGACTCCAAAATAATGTTCAGATGTCATAATAAAATAAAAATATATGACCTGTTTAGTTGACAAAACATATGTTGAGCTTGCGTTCACTGACTCTTCAGAGAAGCCATTGACATTAAGTTTTCTCTTTCTTTCTCTGATACATTCAGTAAGGCCCATGAATGTTATTGATATATATATATATATATATACACACACACATATATATATATATATATATATATATATATATATGTGTGGCAGAGATATAATTTTTGTGGAGTGTG